CAGGATGCGTTTAAATCTGGGTCCACTGTGTTAATCACCCCCCATTCTTCTTTCTGGCACTTACCCTCCAGGCTATTTGCCTCTTTAGGAGATTAAGCGACCAAGTCATCTTGTTGCTCTAACATGTCCTCACTGGAGCAACATATTAACACAATTCCTCTGCAAAAGAGCCCTCTTTAGAAGTTTGCTGCAGGGATGACAAATTAACCCAGCATGGTGTCCCACACATCTATCTCAGTACAAATTATTAGTGTAATAGAGCTTTTAGTTATGCATTTATCTAGTAATTATTGAACGGTTATACAAAACGAAGCTGAGCAATCATGGCCCTTTATGAGGCAATCTCAGTGGGTGGCCTTACAGTTAATTTAGGATAGGACTGTCTAAGCAGTTCACTCGCACACAAATTAGCCGAACAGCCTGCTCCTTTAAATATTTCCTATGTCACAGGCTAACTCTTTACAATACAACAAAGGTAGAGTTTTAATTACACGGTTCCTGACTTTTGTTTAGCTGAAGCTTTAACCATTTGCAAGCCTTCCTCCCAGTCCTCCCCTGCCTGGGATATGGCAGTGGATGGGAGATTGGGCAGGGCATCCAGTAATTACTAAGCCCTGACCTTGAGGCCATCTGTTAGGAAACTGCTTTTCTTTCAGATTGCTCTTGCTTCGAAGTGAGGGAATGGAGAGAATCAAAACCTACACCTACGTGCTCAGTTAAAGCCAGGTGAGCCCTCCCTGTATCCTGACACTAACCGAGAGTGTGACTTGGCAATGGGCTGGGTTAGCCAATCTCTTGGTCAGTGGGATGCTATTTGGGGTTCTACTCAACTGCCACACACATTCCTACCCTTGTGCCTCGGCTCCCTCCTCTTTTGGTTGTCTCATATTAACATCCCTTGATCTGAGGTGTCTGTATCAGAATGGACTTCCACTGCTCTCTTCTTGTCCAAATGCAAAGGAAAGTAGAAGGCTGCTAAAGTCTGGCAGCTTTGAGGGCAGCCCTCAAATAATATGCAACGTGATATAAACAACTGTATATTACAAAATGTCCTTTTGTGCTGTATAGTCTTGGAATTAGCAGAAATTATCGTCTTGGTACGTGTGAAGTTGCCCGACAGGACAGCTAACAGCTACTGATATTTTTGATATTTTGGTGACCCAAGTGAGAATTTTGACAAAGAAGGGCACAATGTCTTCCCATATTTTTGACAAGTTTCTGCCACGGAGGCACTAACAGAGAGCATCAACCTGTCAAATTTCCCTGGTAGACCTCATCCTGATAAAAATCTCAGTGGTTATGCTTATTATGGAGGAGATTACTGTAAAGGAAACCACTCCTCTAGTTGACTTTCATCCCTTCTTCTCTTTCTGCTCACACGCCTAATTACTTGGGTTTTTCCCTTTGTGCTGAATTTCTTGTCTTGTAACTGTGTTTCTCCTTCATTTATCTTCCTAACATACCATCTCATTCCTTTTATTTTTTTCTTTGCCTTTTCTTCCTTGCTTTTTGGCTTGCAGTATCTATGTTGTCATATTCTGTGGGAATGCATGAATGCTCCAGAGCACAGGCTGCTGTATATCCCAGATTTACAAGATCGTGGTTTAATTTAATGTTTCAGCCAGCTCCAGATACAAAGTCACTAGAGTGCAAGTAGCAATGCACGGAAACCTAAAATCACTTTTGTTAATACTACTGCCACCTGTAGTATTTAAATACGTCACTGTCCAGTAAAGAGTTCAAACAGGCTGAGGCCGATGCTGGAAAACTTTGTGTGAGGCCAGCAGAAGATGATGGCTTTGCAGTAGTGGAGTGCTGAGGTGAGAAGCAGTGGCCACCAGATCATCTATCTTGAAGGTATCAGAAGTACACTGCGTAGGAGAAAGCGATCTCTCTGCTCGAATTTTCAAGGCTTTGAAATACGTTCTAAAACTGATAGCAGTGCTAAAGCCACCCTATAGGTGATCCATTTACCATCTGCCAGGCACTGAATCCTAACCACGCTGGTCCAGAGAAGACATATGGTGCATTCATAGAGTCATGCCCAAAAAACTGCCATCATCAAGTGAGGCTCCATGAATCACTTTGCTAGCTTAGCACCAAAGAAACTTGGATCTTACCACCATCTGTTGGAACTACTGAGGAGTCACTGAAGCATTGGCATCCATGCGCCAGCACTCACTGCACATCTGGTCCTATGGTCAGCCAGCTCAGATCCTCTCTGCTGGCTACTGCCCAGCTGGGCTGAGTACTGGCAGCAGCACCAATGCAGATAGGAAACTAGTGTACAGCCTTCCACAACACAGTGCAGTGCAGACGATTTCATGAGAACAGAGGTTTTCCAGCTGGTTCGTTGAATGGAGCATTTTACAGCAAAGAAATCCTCTTAATGATCTACGTTTTCTCCAAGTTTAGTTCCCAAGGTGGCTCACTGTGCGGATCACTGGGAAGGGCACTCCAGGATCCTGGGATATCCCCAGTGCTAAGATGTGCACTTTGTTCTATGATATGTTTGCAAGCGTGTGAAAGATTCAGGAATATTCCTGAGAAGTTACAAATCACTGGTTGTCAATGACAACACCTGCCATGAATAGTCCACAGCTTCTTCTCTGCCATCTAAGTTGATCGTGCTTTTGCAAATGCATCTCATATACACATCCAAGTGATAAACTTGCACAGACAAACATCAGAAGATTGAACCTTCTCGTAATCAGTCAGTTGGCTGAGGAGCTTACTCTGATGGTGACCTACTTATTCATGACTTTCCTTTCTCTGACATGCAGAGAATCTCTGCAGAATGAGGATTAAATCCAGCTTTCATCTTCCCGAAGACAACGCAGAATGACCTGTCATCAGGCATTTACGTAATGCACATGCAGCCAAAGAGGAAGCAACATATGTGCACTACATTATTCCTATCATTACTGTAAAATCTACAAGTTTCAATAACTGATGGTGGATGTGAATTGCTCAAAGATGATATCCTCTTATATGATTGCGTTATGCTCCTTATGTTGCCACTTTTGATACCTGAAAAGCTTCTCTCTTCTGCTTACTGGCCTAAAGTACACTGAAGGGAATGGGATAAAGAACAAAGCTGGATTTGCAGAAAATAATCCACCTCAGCATATTACCCTCTACTAACAGAATGACTGTGGTTGAAGTGAAGTAAACACAGCCAATGTGCTGTGGAAGAAGAATACTGAAGAGACACGTCCAGCAAAGAACAAAGAATGAGGTCTGAATCAAGATTTTTCAAGGATAATGACATTGAAAGAATTCCTGGACAGATTCAGAGACATTTTTCCTGAAAGCTGTGAAGACTTTTTTTGGTGAACAAGCATAAAATAGAAGAAGATACTCCTAACTGATGCTGCAGAAGAACATTATTGCTTAACCTATTAGGAAGAGTGACCATTAGAAAATACGTTACTTTTCTATGGAGACATCTCCTTCCAAGCAAACTGAATTTGTCAAAAAGATTCATCGTATCTGCTCTTTCAAATTCTGGCAGTCTTGAAAGTTCTTCTCACGGTATTCCCAGGTGCACAGAAAGCCTTGTGAAAACAGACCGTGGATGAGGCTTAAACAAGACCTCACCAGTGACACGTTTCCTCCCTGAATCACACAAAAATCCAAAATAGAGAGGGCCTAAATACTTACAGACAAAGGCATTTAATGAGTGAGGTAAAACATAGCCAAATACAGAAAGGACCTATTAACTAATCAATTGACAATTCAAATCTAAAAGGCTGAACTTCTAAAAGAGAGGAATTCAACGTCAGCTGATGTGCACCGAATATATTGTTAATGGAACATTCATATTATTCATACTTGTATCACCAATTATCAAGGCTTTTAAAAGACGATATATTTGCCAGATAGCTCAGATCCACATGCCATGGGAAATCTGCATGGATCTTGGATGCCTAAATTCCTTCTGAGGGGCTAGGTGTGTCTCTCTCAAGATAATTAATTATCATGGGATTAACCACAATAAATCAAACTACATTAAGTAGGTTTCGCAAAGTCCTAATAACCGTGAGGTGCAATTCTGACCTCACTTCAACTTAGCGCAGCGCTACTGCTTCGCACCACATCACCTGGCACTGCGTAAAAAGGCTACTTGTGGTTCCTGTTGTCCTCAGTAAAATCACGCTTATGCCAAGCAGACATTTCAAAATAATTTCTAGCAGGAATTGCTAATACGTTTTTTTATGCTTCACCATTCGACCAATTCCTTAATCTTCTCTAAACGAGACAAAATTCCATATCAGAAAGAAACATGCCACAGCCATTCACATCTATTTTTATATCTTCCAAAGAGGTTTGTAAGAAGATTCATTCATTTTTGTATGTTACTATGCCCAAGTGTCTTCCTTTTCAAATGTGAGCTGAGTACCGCATTTTGTTTTCTAGGTTAATGCAAATGCACCTTTCTAACAAAAATGTATAAGCACATCTGGACCCAGAGGACAGTCCTGTTACTTGAAAAGCAAGACAGAAGAGAACTATGAAGAAAACCAGCCAAAATATTGCAGGAACCAACTTCAAAGCAGTCCGCTAATAAGGCAGTTCTTCAGCACACCAACACCAACAGCACGAGCACCAAATGAATTGCAGCAACAAAGCGAGAGTGTTGGAAGATAGGCATGGCTCAGAAGTGACTGATGAGTCCCTGTCTCGAGCAGCTATGCACTGACACAAGCAGAAGATACTCTACCTTCCCCACCCTCTTCAAATAAAAACCTGCAGCCCCCAGAAACCTGCATTTCCACCTTTGCAACTGCTGAACTGTCACCAGGAGTTGTACCAAACATCCCAGCCTCGCAAAACCAACTGGCCTCGACAACGACAACCTCCAGGTTCTGGAGCTTTGGAAGCACAGCCTGGCACTGAATGTGTCACACGTGGCGATGACTTTCTGTGGCAAAGCACCGGGATGCCAGGTGCTGTGGCTAATGCTTAAGCTGCCTGGGGGCTCTTGGGTTAAGCCTCACCTCTGGGTCCTGTAATGACAGGTCGATGGTGCTGTGTGAAAGCCGTTCCAAGGGAGGAGGTCTGCGAAGGCGAGGGACTGCTGAAACCAGACTTCTCTGACTTCTTTAATGCAGTTGGCGATGGCATTCCTGGCAAGAATGATTGATAAGTGCAATTTAATAATGCTAGGTCATGGAACGACAGCCTATGCATTGTGAAAGTGGGTGCAGAAGCAGCTAGATAAACTTAAAGGACAAACGAAATTGAATACAACAGCAAGCTGAAAGCTCACTTTTATTTATGGGATTTTTTGAGGCAGAAGTGGCCATGGTTTGCTGTGAGCAATGAGTACTAGAAGGCAGCCATATTTTTCTTTTAAATCTGAAATATGGATAAGATGCAGCTTATTATTGCTACTGAAACCTACTCTGCTTTATTTTTAGAAATCTGTAATAGCTGGAGCATTTGGATTTTTACAGGCTTTTTATGAGTTCTGTCTTTCACTTGCTGGTTCAATAGATTATTGCAAATGGATCTTTTAAATGTGCTGCAAGACTCAAGGCACAACTCGAGAGTGAAGTTTTCTGAGTCCAAACCCTGCCATTCCGTACTCCGTTGACTTCAAAGGTATTTGAAAGTAATATATTTATGTGGTTTCCTTTTGCTTTCAAAAATTTTTAAAGGGTGAATGGTATTTGTGTTTTGATATTAGAAGCCACAGCGGAATTATTTCAGTTGTTATAATGCCTTGAACTATACCAAAGGCTTCCAATGAAAGGTAGAGTTAAGCTGCCAGTGGGTGAAACCTCTCCCATGGACAGGCAGAAATGGTGCAATGCTGCTCTGACTGTTCTGTTACACTCTCTGAGATCAACTTCTGCTGATATGACACCAACCTTGTGGCCCTTTTGGCTTCCAAGTGGTACCAAAGAAATTAATGGAATGAATATTGAGGCTCTGAAATCAGAGATTTTTTTTTTTTAAGTGCGATTTATGCTTAGATAAAAGAACGTTGCAGCACATAGTTGAGGACGTATGTGTGTCCATATTATTAACTTTATTTTTATAGATATAGAAGCATATGGATATTCTCATTATCTGCACGTACTCTGAAAATAGATAATTTCCAATACGTACAGTACATCACACATTTTGCATATCCATAAGGATGTAGCAAAACAAAGTTGCAGAACTGTTGGGGGTCTCAGGTTAGAAAGCAAAAACTAAGATAACGTGGAAGTTGAACTTCCACCAGCAAAGCCACTCAACCTACTCTGTATTTTACAGAATTTAATTGTTAAAAATGGAAGAGAAAGGTCTGGACAATATTATCTCTGGACAGTATCATTAACTTTATATTTAATAACACTAGCTTTATAGTCCCTGGGACGTTGATTGCAATAAGCAGGAGCCTTCTTGGTCTTTATACACTGCTCTGCTGGGGTCTTAATGGTTTCAGTGAGGTTTTGGAGTTTATATTTCAGGAAGTTAAATAGTAAGGGAGTGGTTAGAGCTCCAGCGCTGTAATTACAGCTTTCTGTCTTGCAACTGTTTGCTACAAGGGTTTGCTGTTGTGAGGCTTGTTTCCTCACAGCAAGAGAAGTTAGATATACAATCTTTTAAAAGTAAGAGTTTGAAATGGACAGAGATAAGAAAAATGCCAGGTTGGTTCATTTCACAGTGCTCTAAAAGATTTTGGGGTAGGGACAAAAGCAGGAGAGTTGGTTCAGTTTGGGGCAAGTGAGAAAAGGAGGCTGAGCTAAGCTGTCTTCAGTGACATATTCCATTAGTTGCAATGAACTTCTGCTCACGTGGCACATTGGCATTTAACTTTGTGGCTGCTCTTTTTTTTGAGCGTTCACATCCAGGACAAGGACACTCAAAAGAAATAAGGGTAATGTTGACCCTGATGTCCTTACAGTGGCGGAACTGGGGGAGGGAAACAGTAAACGGGTGCCACCCCAGCTCTAAACACAAAATCAATGGGCAGTGGCAACATCTGTGCTCCCGGTGGTGGAGGAGCTGGGCTGCTGTGCTAAAAACCTGCCTGCATCTGAACCACGGCCTGAGGAAGGGGCAGGGAGATGTGGCCAAAAGCTGCAACACGTTTACGTGAATGCATCCAAACACTGAAACTTGAGGCACTGCAACAACAGTGGTGGATGACCTTGAAGTACGGCAGCGCTGAGCAGGGCTGGGAAGGGCTTTTGTAGGGTTGGGACAGCAGCTGTCATAGGAAAATAGAGATTTTGATGTAACGCTACGTTGTGAAATGGAGCAGACATGCAAACTGAAGCACTGATTATTGGTTCCTACTTTTATTACATTTGTTTGTTATCATTCGTTCTGATTGCCATCGTTATTACTGTTGCTTTTTTTTTTTTTTTTTTAATTTATTTCAGGATATTCTGAAATGTGTTGCTTTGGAACAGGCCAACTCTATCATGTTTTCATTTTGTTTGAGGTTTGTAATGACACATTTTATTGTGAGTGATCATATCCATCAGATCTCAAGAAAAAAATGGCTGCTTCCTAGTTCAGAAGAATATGCAAACAGGAGCTTAATTACATCACTTAATATTGACCAAGAGAAAGAAGAAGTTGAGCTTGCCAGCTCATTTCTAAAGCATGTTTTGTCCTTTAAGAGGGGAGGGTATGACAGAAAGTTAGGCAGTGCAAAGCAATTAGCATCATTCACATTTTATGTTGCGCTAGCATGGTGCTCTAGCAGCAAAATTCAAACATTCTTTGAATGGGTTAATAAAAGAAGAAATACAGTCGGCATGCAAGAGAAAGGTTTCCAAGAACAAGCCAAAATATGTCCCATTCTTCTAAATTTATCACAGCCATGTCACATTATCCTTGAGACTGCCAGGAATGTCAATTTTTTTGCAATTTTAAAAAAAATATCTCATTTAGCACCATATGTTTGGTTAATGTGCCTGATATATCCTGCGTATTCTTTAGTCCATCCATTTCTAATACTCATTTTCTTTTTTCCCCCCTCACTGAGCCATATGTTACAACGCTGGTCATTCTATCGAAGCTCCTTTCAGGAGCTGGGAGCAAAAGCAAGCAAACTCGGGTTTAATCACCCAGAAAAATTTAAATCTGATTCTCCAGCTCTTGCTCTTAGGTAAGCAATCTCAACACTTCAGTTAGCTTTGTAGGTGCCCGGTGCCTATGGAAATCAGGCCACCTATGAGATACCGTGTTGTATATTAACAACTGTGAGGCAGGAACTAAATGGCTAAAGATAGAATTAGGTATTTAATTTTTGGCACCCATGTATGAGACTCTTGGCTAGTTTTAAAGGTCTTCTGTTTCATACCTAATGAGTTTTAACACATTTAGTGGTCCCCAGCCCTCAGCTTCCCCTCCTGTGTTGCTCAGGGATGCAGGAAATTAAAAAGTTAAAGCTAGAGCTACCAAGGGCAGAGCCCAGGGAGGATGCTGCTGCCTTGCACCACTTTCCTCAGCACTGTTCCCATGAGCTCACAAATACTGGGGACCACAGCATGGAAGACCAGGTTTCAGCACTCCACATGGTGGTGCCAACCTTTAAGGACACCACAGAGGCCCAGTTCTCCTCCGCTTCCTCTCTGGTGCAGGGCAGCAACAAATTACTCTATCCCCAGCCCGTCTCAGCTGTGCTGGCCAGTGAAGAGGGAATGGAGCCAAGGATCCTCCCCATTCCCTGCCTCTTTCTATCCATCTGCTCTGAGCAAGGAATAAATGAGAACAGCCAGAACACAACGGCTGGGTGACCCAGGTGGGGTTTTCAAGTGTTCCTTACTGGTCTGTGCATGGGACTGTTGTCCAAATCACAGTCACACCTGGCATTTTTGGGTAACATAATTTCACAATCCAGGTCTGACTCTCCTCCGAATGTTAGTTAGAATACAAGAAATGAAAATCAGAATTAGTCTGTTTTCATCTTATGGCAGCCTTTAACTACAGAATAAGTGGAAAAGTTAATTGCCAAATAAGAAAGAAAATGAGGGGATATGTGGCACGAAACACAGATGGAAGCCTGAGTGGGTGTGTTTCCTCAACTCACTGAAAGCATGCGATTGTATGAGTACATATATGCCAAACATATATGGTCTTAGCCTGCTCCCATTAACATGAATTGTTTTGTTTTTCAATGGACAGAGGGAGCCAGACCAAAGACCCTGATGGTGCTAAATGGAACAAGATGTACACTTTCGTATTTTTTTCCACAAGGAAATATTAATTTGACATTGGTTTTTCAGTTGAAAAGAATTTTAATTGCCGTACACAATAAGCAGAAAATTCAGACAACAATAATCTTGAAACTGTTAGCAGCATTATATTTCTATCAAGGAATTTGAGTGCCTTTTCAACATTAGAGCTTTCTGAATTTTCATTAATTTGGCATTTCCCTAAACACACAAGTTATTTGGTTCATTCCACATCATGCATCACACCCTTTTGCTCAATGCATAATGCAAGCGTAAATGGGATCCTTGTCCTTGAGAGACTCTGGTTACTGGAGCCATTGCACGGATGTTGAAGTCCCGCAGTAAGACTTTCCAAAACTCTGCACTTCGCAAACCTCCAGCCCAAGTTTAATCAGTGAGTGCCCACGAATACTCCATGTTCCTCATCTTCTAAGGGGGCACTGGAGCACTGTGGTGTTCTTAATTCCTCTATCTCCTTATGTCTGCCAGTACTAGAGATGTTTACCACATAAAAGTCTTCCTTGAGTACAGCTAAAGATCTTCAAATTTTCATGTATGATGCTGATACATATTTAAATGGATCAGAAAATGATGTGTGAGAATTGAATGCACCAATCCTTCCCAGAGCAAACAAATATCTATTAACCTACTTCCCATACGGCTATGCTCCTCACTAACGGAGGTACTGAAATGATGATTAACTTTGATGAAGTGAATGTAGTCATTACAGTGTAAGAGAAAAATTCCCCTCCTCTCCAAATCTATAGCTCTGTCTGTATCTATGTGCTCATCCAATTTCGCTTGTTAATTACTAACATTATTCTGACTATACACATCTTAAACAATAACTCCATATCAAGTCAGTCACACTGGTAGACAGCTAATATCCACCTCCAAAGACGACTGTTGGATAATTACCCCACTGCTCCCAGCAGTTCTCTGCCACTAGGCTCTTGATGGAGATTCAGAAACAACAAAAGCTATGAATGAAGTGTGACTTAGATCTTCATTCTCAAGGGACACTATAACAAGGAATCACAGAAGCTCAGATATCACCAGGTGGACCATGAACTCGACAACATGCAGAACAAAGAGATGATGCATAAAGACAAGTTGGCTGTTGAAGAAAAAGCTGATACGAGGGAAGAATTTTCCAAGGTATTTTCATCCTTCTGTGGAAATTATTCCGTCTATATCTGAAATAAGTATCAATAGAAACGGTGATTGGCTGCTTTTTTTTTTTCTGGGGAAGTCTTAATTTCAAGTTTCTTGAACTTCGGATGGCTATGCTACTATCAGTCATAGCAAATCTGTTCTACTTATTGCTGAACGAGCTTTATTTGTCTTCAGCTGAGCTACAATCACACTAGCTGCCATCCATCAGTTTACTCTCTTAGTTGCTCCTGTATGTGCAAAATACAGTGCTGATAGAAATTCCCTCATTCTAATAAAGTGCTCTTTAGTTTCTATGTTTTGAACGTCTGCTTGCTCCTCTGGTCACACTCTGAGTTACCATGATCACTGATCAACTACCTGCCAGCGAGCACCTCACTTATCAAAGCAAAACCCAGCTTAATGAACAACGACTGCACAGAAGTAAAATGAAAGCTCCCATCTATCCACTTATCCAACTACTGCATATGCATCAGGAACACACACAACCAGTTTCCTCAGAACTCGACATCTGACAGATATCAGGAAAACAGAGCTAATCTATCCATATCCATCAACATCGTATCATAGGTGACTGCCAGATACTTAAGAAGCTATCCAAAAGAAATGTCACAACTCTTTTTCAAGACGCTACAAAAGAAATGTTCCAAATAAAATAAAGCAAATGCACGTACAAGTAAATGAGCCAAAGAACTTAATAAAAAGAGATTGATTAAAATGAGGACCAGAATGTTCAAAAAGGACTAAGAGAGAGAGGTGCCAAAGGCGCATTAAATGGATTCAATGGCTTTAGGCTTTAAACGCTTTTGGATTCCTCAGCAATTTTTAGCCAAAAATGATCATTCAAGTTAGAATCAGGATTCTGATGCCACTTAAGATAAAGAAGAGTGATATTTCTACTTTGTAAATGAGTACTCCTCCATTTACAAAGGAGAAGTATCAGTTTTACCTGTGATAAATCCTGTCTACAGAATGTGAAAATGCATGATGCAACATTTGTTATTATTTTAAACCTCTACCCCATTAAAATCTACGCTAAGCATTTTGGTGCAGTGTTCCCATAGAGTGTATATCTTATCTGTCTGTATCTGTGTTTACAGCACCATCTGGATTGTTTTTGGTGCTGTAAGTGAGCCTCCATCCCTGTCTTGTCATCCAAGGAACTCTTTCAATAGCTAATAAACTGGTACCAAACGTTTGACCAACGTCTTCAAAATATCACCTCATTGGAATTTTAAATTGGAGAATTTTGGTGAGAAGCACATCAAACAGCAAGATCACAGTTTGCTTCTCCCTCTAACTTCCATCACGTTCCCATGTCATTTTCCATTTTGTAAATACATATTTTAATAAGAACAAAAACTGTTTTCTAATGATGTCCTTAAACTTCATGATGTCATTTAAAATTCATGATTCCATTTGCTTCATTTCAAATGCTGTTTGAGACTTTTTCAGCATACTTGGCAGATTAGATATAGCAGCGGGGACAAACTGCAGCCATCCATAGGAGAATACACCTTTATGTGGGTGCTTTGGGGATGGAACATCTATAGCTGTTAGGCAAAAAAATTCCATCGTAAATTTGGATGGCATTTACAAAGCCCTCTAAAAAGTCTTTGCATATGATTATAGCTGAGGTATGATATTTTTGCAAGTAAAAGACCCAGAATAGATTTATGTTTCAACTATATCTTCCTGAGATGCATATGGATTCTAAATTGCAAGTGATGTTAAAGGGAATTTTACTAACTGAAGAGGATCGAGTCAAATTTTATTTTTTTTCTCTCCTCCAAAATCCTTTGCTCAATGTTTGCATGCCATCAAAAGATCATCTATCTATCCAGGCTATACATAACCACGATGGCTACTAAATGCCAAAGGCATGAGATGGAGATGGGCAAATATGCGGATTTTTCAGACTTGTGACCTCAGTTGCTGCATGGTAATGTTTTGAAATGACTTTTATGATGACAAGACTAAGTTTGGTGCTAATATTGGTTTTGAACTTAATCGGTACACACAGCCACTGAACATATGTTTCAATTAATAAAAGGACTGTGGACAGGATTGAAAATAACTCAGATAACTTAACATGCACTGTAAAGTCACCTGATCTCTACACAATTTAAGGTGAAGAGTCTACACACTATTCCAAAGAATGAAATAGTTGCAAACTGAATTCATGTATCACACCAAGCTGAAATGGAGTTACAATTTGACAGGTCAAGAGTGTACTCATGGAACTATTATGTATTGCTATGCAGTGGCTTCGGGTGTTTTTATGATACGACTGCCCAGGTTTGACAGTCACAGGGCTGAACAGTCATCTCATTTCTCCATAACACAGCAATTCATTTGGAGCTGATGTAGAGCTGCTGTGCTTTCACTGGGAGGTGCCCATAGCTGATGTATGTTGGCATGTGCCTCCTCCAACGGCACTGCAGGGCCACCACCAGCAACTCCCCAGCAAGACTCGGCAGCTCCCACTCAGCACAAACTTAACGGTTTCCCAACACATCAGTTCTCCCACAGGTGATATCAGAGAGGCAAAATCAGCCTCATTTTTTTCCACATTTCCAATGGCTTTGGGATTCTGGGGGTAACAAGGAATCCCCCTGGAAAAAACTGGATTGTTCCTGTGGCCGAGGAGGTAAAGGTACAGCAGGGCGGCTTTGGCTTCGCTTCTAGAGGAGCTGCTTGTGAGTTCTGCCCGACACCTTTACATCCACTGAGCAGCTGAAAACACATCTGACAGAGAGGCAGAGGGCTCACAGGAAAACAGTCCCTACAAGTTCATGGGAACAGGCATGGAAAGGGCAGAGTAACACGTCCAGGCTCCCTTTGGGCTGTCGCTCTGGTAAAGTGCTCTCCTCCACCAGAGAACCCAAACAAGAGGGAAAGCTGGTACACCCCCCAACCACCCCAATGTCTGTGCACCCAGAACAAGAGCATTGGCATTGTTTGAATAGGCACACCCACCATGTAGTGCTCCGCGGTGTTCGGGGTTTCTTAGATATCCTAATTTTATAAAAGAAAGTAAAAGAAGAAAAAAGAAACAAGGTGAGAGAGAACACTATCATATTTTGTAGCAAGCAGGATACTGTGTGAAATCTTGGCCCAGTGAAGTGATAAAGGGGAAGCTTTCCGTTTGCTTAAGGGAAAACTTACGAGCAAATAGTAAAATTACCGAAATACCACATTGCAGAAAATGGGTGCATTTAGGCTCAATTAAGCTGTAAAAAGGAAAATGGCACTTTAGCTTACAAAAATGAAGGGACAGAGGGAGCTATCAGAAGTAACTTTACAAGATTTGTATGCATGAGGATGCTGCTTCACTGGACCAAGAAAGCTACAGTATGGGACAGGATTTTTCTTTAATAGACACTTTGCTAGATAGCTTTGTTGAGCCACAGAAACTGCTGCTCTGGCATTATGAAATAATCCTACATAACTTGATCTCATGAGCTTAGGAACACAGAAAAATAGCCATGCCAAATCAGATTACAGGGATCCACCTAGCCCACTGTCCTCTCTCTGACAGCGGTAATTAATGGATGCCAAGGAAAGAGGAAGAGACCAGGGAAAGCACACAGTGATAATTCTCCAAAACTCTCTCCCAGCCTCCAACGATTTGTGTGATTCAAGGACTTCTAAGACAAAGTTGATACCGTGCTAGAGAAGGTACTCAAATCCAAATGCACAGATTTACACCCCCCGCCTCCCCTTTTTGGATTCCTACCCCCATGAGATTTCCACCCGTCACACAGGAGAGGTTTCACAGTTTGCTGCTGGCAAGTCCAGTGTTCTTGCCACTAACTCTAAATGAGCTAACAGCTTTCGAGCCCAACGATGTTATGTGTATAAGAGCATCCAACACTTTTTCCTACATAAAAAAGTGACATGTGTGCTGAGGTGCTCTGAGTGTATATACTTTGGGAGATAATTTTTTTTTTTTTAAACAAGAATTTGGCTGTAAACTGATATTAACATTTTCCAGTATATGTGTAAAACACATGTTTCAGAAGAATAGAAGAGAGAAACTGTCACTCACTGGGAAGCTTTAGAGCTATCTGGCTCCCTGGGAAACTGCATGCAACTATTCTGGTGTCCAAGGGTTTGACCAGTGAGTTTCCTCTTCCTGCAAAGAATGAATGCAGAAGTAATAGAAAGTCTGAGGGGGAGGATTTTAGCAAATGGCTAAAGATACTCCTGTGCTGCTAACTTCAGCAGGTAGGAAGAGGGTAGTGGTGGAAGAGACAGGGTGGGAAGGGAGAACCGCCTGCCTTCCCCTCCCAGCTGCCAGTAGAGAGAAGGGGCAGGGGACTGAGCTGGGAGAGCCTCGCACGCTTCAGCTCAGCCCTCTGAAATCCCTTTGTGCTTCTGCACTGATACACAACAATGCCGACAGGTCAGCACAGTCCCAGCACTGCACACAGCGTCAGGACGTTCTGCTCTGATTGCCCAGCTCTTGCTGTGACCGCCTTTCAGGATGGAGCACGGCTCACCGGCATGGCACAGCCTCCTTCGTGGCGTTAGCACTGCTTGCAAAACCCCCTACTCCTGGACACAAAAAGTGACTTCCCAGGCATCACTCTTATTTCACTGCCCACTTCTCGGGGGAGTTTCTGAAGTTTTCATTTTCTGATCAAATTGGTACCTATGTGTCAATTTTTACTTTATTTGTAAAACGAATCAGTAAAACTGGGGACCTGAAGAAAGGCTTATCCTTTCATTTTTGATGGCATGTTGACTTGGTAAGATTCTAAAGGCATGCCTAACCTATTAGGGGGTCCCTATAACTTTCCTTAAAGCAAAAATTAGAAAGTGATCGAAAAGTTTTATAGAGGAGAGCAGAAATATAATTTTAAGCCTCTTAAAATTGCCTGAACTGTGAAATCAAGTAATGAACTAGAAAAGGATCTGTCAGCTGGAATCAAAGCTCTGACTAGTCAGCATTTTCTTCCTAAACCTTATTATGGTGAAGATTTTTCATCTCTGCGCTCCGTTCATCCCAACAAATAAACCGACTTGACCTCCACCTGTTACTTGGTGAAGTCTGCTGTCATCTTTGACTGAACCCTTTTCTTCCCCTTCAAAGCCCTCTGCACCACTGAGGAGGTGGGGAGATACAGCTGTGCATCGATTCAAGTGGATACCAGCTCATCACCAGACAGCGTTTCACAGCACAAATGACAAGCAGCAGAGGAGAGAAAAATGTAGTGCCAATGAATTCTGGAAGGGGGCAACATTTTTCATCAATTTAACAATGAGATTTCATAGAAAGAAGTTTTTGTGTGTGTGTGTGTATGCGTGTGATATTATGAACTAGCATTGGAGGCAAAAACATTTTGCTTCTGCTGTAACAACGAACCTACGCTAACACCGCGGATGAAGAGCTGCAGAACAGAGTGGGACCTAACTGTGCTTCTCTTAGATGGCACGAGTGAATTGCATTAGCTATTTCAAGGAGGTTCAGCTCCAAATGCGTGCAGTTTTCTGGACTTGGAAGCAAGTTGTGGCTTTAAAACGTAACATGGCTAAATAAAACAAATGTACATTACAGAACATAGCACAGCGAGACTGGTCATGAGGAAAACTGAACAGCAATCATTTCTTCAAATATATCATCATGACAGAACCATGCAAGTAGCTTTCTAATACAAAGACATATCAGAAAAAGCCATTTCATATAAAGTTGGACTTCTCTGGGTGATTAATGCTACATCCAACAAAGGAGACAGTGTCTGTCTAATTACATTAAATACTTATCTTCTAGGGATTGGCAGGGTGTTTCTGCTCAATGTCACTTTTCATGACAATGTAATGATAGATCCGTTTACTTACCAGTGCCATTAGCAAAAATTGTACTGTTTTCTCAACTGCCCTCATATCACAAAAATATTTGATTAACACACTGTAGCTTATCTAATACTCTAAGCAACATATTCCGCATAGTTTTCTCTCTATTAAAAGAACAAGATTACAGCTTGTAAAATTTTTATTGCACTCACACAAAAATAAATGAATAATGTGCGATACATTTCAAGTATCTCACTGCTTCACAAAATGGGTTTATTTAATTTTAAATATTAACTTGTGCTTTAAACATCAGGATTTGGGGGGAAAACTAGCAAACAAAGTACTCTGAGGTACGGCTTCCCATCCAGCGTTTAGTTATTATTTCCTTTACGTATCAGCACGTCTTTTGAAACTTTAAAATACCTTGGGAGGAAAGAAACAAAAATGCTTCATTCCTTTGCTGAAAAATAGATAGGGCCACCTCCCAAGTATTTGGAATTCACTGCATCGTGAACTGACTCCTCACAGTCACCCCACCGTGCCAACATACAGAGAACAATAACCTCTGGAAGAATGCACACAGCTAAGGCAGTTTATATAGTAACAAGGTAATTTCATAACCTTATATTGAAAAGAAGGGCTGTGAGGTAACATCCTCGCAATATATATCAGCTACCTGATTTTTACTAACAAGGTTAAACTGCTATCTGTTTGTCTCAGCACTCTTCATAATTCACTTTTTAATGGATGGACAGGAAAAGTTAGCAGTGTATGGCACAGATCATTTTAGAAATAGGACAAGACAGCTCAGGGCAGGATCTGAACATGCTCCTTCTTTCCATAGGATCACATCAAAAGTCTATCCTTAGCCATAATTCCCATCTACTCCTGAATCTTCTGAGGGATAGATTTCTAGATTTTCTATCAAAGTTAAATGGCAAATTCAAAAAACAAGGAATCCTTTGATTCTTCTTCTTTTGAGAAGGAGGTGTCACCATCAAATGGCCCCAGGTTGAATGGCCAGCTTCCCACCGTGATGCTCCATATGTGTGCAGAAGGCACATGGGCAGCAGCTCCACTCCTGGAGGAGCCAAGAACATCAACCCCATTTTGGTACAGCACTGCATGCTGCCACAAAATGGTAGCACACAAACTGGCCTCCACTAGGTCTAACTCAGTACAGCAACGTGGGGTTAATTAACACTGGCCTTAAATCCCACACAAGGATGACACCGCTCTCAACCTCCCCATATGCTCCCCCAAAATAATAGCGGATTTAGGATATTCGTTCCCCGAGCTGCAAGGGTTTGGGGTGTGCCTGCAATTATCTGGAGATAAGTCTGACACGCATTATCCTTCTATCAATGACATTCCCCTTAGTAGCCAACAGATTATCAGCAGCTTTGTGATATTCCAGGTGTCAAAGAAGAATTAAAAACCACAACAATTGCCCAAACAAAGGGACAAAAGATGGGATACGTGTTTCTGAGCCCTGCATATCAATTTAATATGTGCAGCTGACAATGATGCAAATGTCCTCGGGAGAGAGGCAGCAAGATCCGTGCCCAAACATACACACACCACCGTCAGCAAGATGGCAGGGAACAGAAGCAGTAGGATTCCCAGCCCAGGACACATGCCTCAGCAGGCAGAGCAACCCAATGAAACAATCCTCTGGTTGAGGAGAATTTTGGAAGCACCTGATATGGAAAAGGGCCCTAAACAAGCCAGATGGTACTTTTCGCTGGCAGCAGAAAGTAGGAGACAGCCAAAAACATTACAGCATTTCCCCAAGAGGCCAGCAGATCGATTTTTAACCATTTTTTTTTTAAAGCGACGCTATCAATATAAAAAAAAATAATGCTTCTGTGCATTTCTAAAAGTCTGATTTTATGAATCACTCACTTAAGGAGGCAACAACTGGAAGAGATGAGAAAGGAATGGACTCCCACTTTCCTGGGGTGGTTGTATATTCGACATTGCGTTTCTATTCAGTTGCTGCCACTGTTTACTCTGAATTAAGTGCCAGTTTTTGTTCAGGGTTTTCCACTTAACATTAAAGAGAAAAAAAATCTGTAAAAGTAGAGAACGGGCACAATGGTTCTTATGACACGGGAGAAACACTGTTTGTAAGGCTGCTTTGCCCTCTTTGTCCCCCACAAATTACTGGGTTTCTAGATGATCATTTTTTAACAGAGGGCAAACATTTATTTACTACCTACAAGTTCCCATTTGGCTACGGATTTGCATAAGAAATACAGCTGTTTTGGGGATCTTTTAATTTTTAAAAGCTCCAAATGGCCAGAATTGGCAATTCTGCCTGGATTACAGGACTGCTTTCAGGACTCATTTTGACGTCAGATGTTGAACCTTTACTTTGACAGTCCCAAGCAGTTTCTTGAACAGCACATTCAGATTCCGTGCGGCCAAGTGGTTTGCACTCGAGGAATGGAAAAGGAATGTAGGTTGTATGAGCTGAAAGGGCCCAGAGGGACAGAGGAGCTGTGAAGCAAGAGGACAACCAGCACCCTTTGTTTCAAACACACACCTCATGTTGAGGATTGGCCAAGCTCAGAGAAGAGTCAGGATGATGCCTTACTTTCCTTTGTCACTATTTTAGTTCAGAGCAAAGGCAAACCCTAAGACAGGGTTAAATCTGGACTACATCCAAAGTGCTTTCTCCTGCTCGGAGCACAGTGGTGCATTAGTGTACTGCATTACAGATAAAACTCCTGGAGACAAACGTGGGCTGTTGTAATAAAATGGGACATTACTCTGAGTACAAAGAAAGATAATCCATACATTCACAATTTCTTCAATCTCACTCATTGCAAATCCTTCCTTTTAAAATACAAGGTATTTCCTTCCTACAGGTGGAACCTAAGACTTTGCCTCCAGCCCTTTCTGATTTGAACAGTCCCACTCTTTTCAGCACTGCTGTTGGACGTGAGGATGCAGATACCACCTCATTTCGTTGGCTCTTTGGAGTTCAAAGATCTTAAAGCAAATCCCAGTGAACCAAACGAAGACTGCGCACAAAACTTCAAAACACAGCCTATAATTTTCTAGTTAATTTTAGCTACAGGATCTCGTGTTATGCTTTTTGGTGTATATCACACTAAAAATAGCATCAAGCACTGATGTAAGAGGAGAGCAGGAGGAATGATCTCACCAGGGCTGCAGGCCCAGAAAGAGCAGCATGGGCAAGAAGAGGTGGGATATGCTATGCATACCTACCTGCCTCTAACAAGACCTCAGTGAACACAGAAGAAAGCTGTCGTCAGTTTGCACATGAGATAGAGAGCATGAAGATTTTGTGGAGCTGGAAACCAAAGAGTC